GGGAGTTGAAGTCCACTCATCTTAAAGTGGCCAAGTTTGGACAACACTGGTCTAGGCAATATAGGAACCTTTAATTCTTTATTCTGCTCATTTCTTAGCATCTGCATATCAAATTGATTTATTAATAACAAATATCTATGAAAACTAAGTTGTTTTTTTTAGTTTTAAAGGATTTAACCAGTGGTTCTATTATCTCAGGTGTCTCAGAAGCTGCTGGTCCAAACAATGTTGTTAACAAATGTTGTAGCTGTAAATATTGCCATTGGATTACATCTGATAGATGATATTTATCTGTTAGCACAGCATATGTTAAAAATTCGTCTTCGTTTATCAGTTGGTCCAATGTCAATATCGCTAAAAGTTGATGGCAAGTAATCAGTTGGTCACTCTTATGCTGCATTTATGCAGTGAGCCTTTGAAATGAAGTATTAGATCAACAATGTCTTGTGAAGCACACATCACAATTGCTCTGGCTTTGAGATCATCATAAAAGAAATATCCTATTTTATTTGTGTCCTTGATAGCAATTATTGTTGGAATTAAGGGCTAGGGGAGACATGCAAAATCCCAGTTTGCATTCAGCCTGTGTTAATATGCTTTTGGGGTTTAGGATAGTGGATCAAGACTACTGTATTCCTGATGAATGAATGTTGGATTGTTGGCAAGATTCAGCACTTTAGGAGGGACAGGTAAGATGGCAATTAATATCTATTGGCATATTCTCAGTTTCCAGGGAATTGGAGTATATGGTGGGCTTATTGTCCTCCTAACTATTTATAGGATTCATTTCATTCATTCATTCATTCATTCATTCATTCATTCATTCATTCATTCATTCATTCATTCTACTATTTCCTGGAGAGGTTTTTCCCCCCCTTTCTCAAGGTTATTTCTTTTTATTAGTTAGTAAATTACTGTTTTTTTATATTCAGCTTCCCAGCTGGGTAAGCATATGTTGACTTCTTTTATGTCTCTGAATTTCTTTAAACTTGCTTAGTCCTCTTATTTCATTTTTGTGAGATTTTTGCACTCAAGATCAGATCAGAGGCCATTTTTTGTGCAGGGACCAAAGGGGTTTGGAATTTAACACTAATAGGTGCCTTTTTCTTTATCCAGATCTCGTTTTCCATCATTTAGCACTTTCCATTAAGAAAGCTAGGGTCGCCACTTAGCTTTCTGTTGTTTACCTAAAATATCTGTGATCAAAAATAAACCGCCCAGAGTCATTTAACAAGATGGGTGGTGACAAATTCAATAAATAAATAAACACATTCTTTGTGATCCATCAAAGGCTGGTTTCATTTGCCAGAATCACAGAGGAAAGATTACTAAAATCCTTGTCTGTTAGATCTTTCATATTCTCTTTTGCCTGCAAAAAAAAAAAAATCTCTGTTCATTGTATCAGAGTATGCAGCTTTACCTGCATAGGTCAACTCTGAAGCAATATTTGATGATTGATTTGTATCCTGCACAGATGAACAGTAGGGACTCAGAAACCAATCACTGTACTCAGAAGGTACTCAGAAACCAATCACTTTCTGCTTATTTGGAAGTGAAGAAGAAGGAATCTCTTGAGGGGGGAAAATTGTCTCTAATTTTTAGTCGGTTCTGCTCAGAATGTTGCAATACAGTCTCCTCATTAATGCAACCTTTACATACCAAACCCATTTTATAGCCCCCCCACCTAGTAAAAACCATGGACGTTGTTGTCTTATTCTGACCATAAATAGACAATTTATTCTTTTTATGGGGAGGAGTGCTTGCTTATCTTTTTGACACCTTCTCTGCTCCCTATTCATTTTTCCCCCCTTTTTTCTTAGTAAAACCATCCAATATTGTAACACTCCACTTGTCTTGTTTAGGGCAGTTGTGAACTGAATCTTCTCAAAGTTGCAAGATTAAGCCTATAAGCGAAGCCAAGGTGTAAGCAGGAGTGAGAATAAAGGTCAGTAAAAAAATAAAATAACCTTTCCCAAAAGTTTGGCAAGGAAAATGTAAGATAAAACATAGGAGTTGAAGTGAGAGGAGACCATCAAATGGATAATAGAAGCTAGCATTCTAATTCTTCTTTAAGTGTTATCTAAATATAGCTAATATGTTAATATTATTTATTTATTAAATTTATATGTTTATTTATACATTAATTGTATATATTTATTAAATAAATGTATTAAATAAATAAATGTTAATACTGGCATGTTCAATTGTTTTTGCTTCTAATACGTTAAAATTACATTCTGGTGGCAACCTGTGGTCAAGTTGTAGAGACTATAATATATGCTGCTTTGGGGGTTTTTAAGTTTTAGGGGCTCATTTTGGACTATTGGGGAGGTTAGAAATGGATTTGCCTTTGAGAAGGTTCCCCCCTCCTCCATCCTTAAAACCCTGCAAAAAGGCCAAAGTTGAGCCAAAAAAGACAATTGGTGGAGAAATTTAGGACCTCTCTGCTTCCCTTCTCCCTTATGTATTTTTATTGATTTTCAATGAAACAACAAAATATAAGAAAAAAATAGTAATAATAACAATAACTACAACAATAAATATGTCTCATCTCCCTTGTCATTTCAGGAAGAAAACTGTACTATTGAAATTTGGTCAGTGTGCCACTGAAATTCAGTGATGGAGTTTCAGTATCGGAGGCTGCGTGGTGGTTGTATGAGGCTTAGGGGCTACCTACTCCCTTATCACCTCTAGCTACTAGACCTGCTGGCTGGAACTGATGGGAGTTAAATCATTTTTTGTGCATCAGATTGCTCACCATTGTCTGAACCAGTGTTTCTCAATCTTGGCAGTTTTAAGCTGTGTGGACTTCAACTCCCAGAATTCCCCAGCCAGCATGAGAAACCCTGGTTTAGTGGCTCCTATAAGAGTAGATATAGATATAGATAGATATACTCCTATAGAGTAGTTAAAAATAGAGGGGTCCTGCTGGACACATTTCTACTTTTCCTCTGCTTATGGAAAGTTAAAAAAAAAATGGTCACGTTCATTCAGGAGATCTTCCATCTTCAGAGAATGTATCTCTGAATATGAGGTGTCTGAACCAGTTCAGGAGGCTTTGCTTTCTTTCCAGTGGACCTCCCAGGGAATCTGATTGGCTCCTGTTGGAGGAAAGGGGCTGGGCTGCTTCAAGGGATTGAGTTGACAAGCTGTGTTTACGTTCTTAGGCACGATGATGTTGGGACAAGAACAGGATCCTGGAGGAGGGAGCCAGCCCCCCAGAGCAACAGTGTCATTGCTCCGAAGCACAGCTAGTCAACAGGAGGTGAAAGTGGAAAATCAAGAGGATTTGGCCCAACTCTGGGAGACTCAGTGGCAGGAGTTCCTAAGTACAGTGGAAGCCCCACAGATTCTTCCAGAGCCCTCGCCATGGGAGGACGCTCACATCTTCTTAGCTTCCTTTGAGCAAGTGGCCACAGCTTTCCAGTGGCCCAAGGAAGAATGGGCAGCCCGTCTCCGGCCCACTCTTGGAGGAGATGCTGAGCAAGCCTATAGCAGGCTGGAGGTGGGAGACAGAGAGGATTATGGGAAAATGAAGGCAGCCATCTTGCAGGCGGATGCTGTGAGCCGGGAGAAGCAGCGGCAGCACTTCCGACGTTTCTGCTACCAGGAGGCTGAAGGGCCAAGGCAGGTATATAATCAGCTGCAGAGGCTTTGCCATCAATGGCTGAAAGTTGAGAGACACTCGAAGGAACAGATTCTGGAAATGCTAATCCTGGAGCAGTTTCTGGCCATCCTTCCACCAGAGATGCAGAGCTGGGTCAAGAGGCATAATGTGGAGAACAGTGATCAAGTAATATCCCTGGCTGAGGATTTCTTGCTCAGGCAGTGGGTGCCGGAGACAACAGAACCACAGGTATGTGTGAAGGGCGTCTTCTCTTCTTAGACGTTGGCTGCAGTCTGACAGAAAACAGCACAAAACAGTAGGGTTGAGCACAAAACAAACATTCGGAACTCAGAATGAAACAGCCCCACTTGGAACATTAATTTGGAACGTTTTGACAGAACATGAAATCTAGAGAACAATGGGAATTCAAAACAAGCTCTTTCTCCCTCATATCTATATTAGAGCCACAAAATATTTAAGTCCAAATCCAGGCTGACAGCTACCTACCACCCGATCTAAAGAAAAATTGCCAGGAGGATGATTTTAAAAAGTATTTAATCCTGCAGACTGCAAAAATGAGGCCTGTTCCTTTCATTATTTACTGGGGTCATTTCTGAAATTAAACCATCCCTTGCCATATCTGTCATATATGTAGTAGGCAGCGCTTAGCAAAAGCTATTACACCATGCAGAGGGCAAGGGACCAAGTAAATTATTTGTGTTCTCAGCATTCCTTGGGTGAGAACAGGCCAAATGATGTGGAAAGAGACACTGTTTTGTTCCAAATGTAAGACAAACCTTTAGAACATGGGATGTTCTCTTCCCAGAGGGGCTGAGTAATCCTTTGGTGATCAGGGGCCACGTTATCAGTTTAGTGGCAAGGGCAGCAGTAAATGGAACAATGAAGTGAGTAGGTGTGATCACATCATGTTCGTAATGGGGTTGGGGTGAGATGTTCCATTCCACTTCTCAGTAATTTAAAGAGTGTAATTGCTTTTTTTCCCTGCACTTTTGTCATTGCAAAGATTATTTTAAGGATTAAAACAGGGTTTCTCAAACTTTGCAGTACTGTGACAACCCCCCCCCAGGTAAATGTAATAATTTCATTGGTATTAGCATTTATCTCTGAAATGTTCATCTCTATCTTCCAGGGGTTCCCAAACGTTGCAAAATTGCAACTGCCTACTACGGGTTTGGACAGGCAAAGCAAGGAGCAGAATTATAATAGTGCTTCTCTTTTGCTTGTGCAATCCTGCTCAGGTTTCTAAAAATGTCTGATCCCCCTCTGAGTTGATCACACGCCACGATTTGAGAACCCCTAGATTATACTCATGGATGCCGCAGTTTAACTAGTAAAGTGAACCGGTATAACTTGATTCTCAGAAATTTTTTAAAAAGTCCAAGCAGAGACCAAAAAAACAACAGGCCAACAGCAAGAGACTACAGCCAATCTACTTTCAGCCAGTAATTGGCAATTGCAGGCAGAAAACAAGCCTGCTGGGCGGGCTGGCCTGTTTTTTGCCAGCAAGCTTTTTTAGTGTGTGAGCTGTATGGTGATGTCACTACATAAGCCTCATCTGACAGCAGCATCATAACCCAGCAGGGAAGATGGGCGACTTATAAATAAATAAAATAAATAAAAATGAGGGCAGCGTTTGTTATAACTTGTCATGGCTATTACAGCTAGTCCTTGTTTACCAACCACTCGTTCAGCAACTATTCAAAGTTACGACAGTGCTGAAAAAATACCTTTATGTTGTTGTTCTTCAGTTGTTAAGTCGTGTCCGACTCTTCGTGACCCCATGAACCATATTGCGCCAGGCCTTCCTGTCCTTCACTGCCTCC